CCCCCCCCGCGATAGTACAAGTACCGCAACAGCCCGGTCATCCGGGCCTACATGCAATCCATCGGCGACTGGTACTACATTGTGATGGCGGTCATCGGGGCCGTGCTCTTCGGGGCCATCTATGCGCTGTATGCCTTCCTGACGGCGGAGATGATCGACGCGCTGAATGTCAAGCGTGGCGATGACCTCCGCCAGGCGGCCCTCCTTTGGGGCCTGGTGTTCCTGGGGCTCGGGGTCTACTCGGTGGCGGCCAACTACCTGATGAGTGTCGGGCAATTTGTCACGGCCGAGCGGCTGACCGACCGCATGCGCAAGCTGGCCTTCCAGGCCATTGTTCGCCAGGAGCCGGCCTGGTTCGACCGGCCGGAGAATGCCACCGGCAGCCTGGCCGCGCGGCTGTCCACCGACGCCAGCAACATCCAGGGCGGCACGGCCATCCGGCTGACCACCATGGTGGTCACCTCGACCACCATCCTGGCCAGCCTGATCCTGGCCACGGTTTCCTGCTGGCGGCTGGGCCTGGTGGCCATGGTGTGCGCGCCGCTGTCACTCCTCGGCGGGTATCTGTCCATCATGGCCACGGTTGGGTTCAATGAGAAGAACCGCCGTGCCTTCGAGCAGAGCGGCAACTACGCGGTCGAGTGTATTACCAGCATCCGCACGGTGATGGCCCTCAACCGGCAGGAGGCCTTCGCCAGCAAGTTCTCCCAGGCCCTCCAAGCCCCGATGCGCACGTGCTTGAGGAGCTCCCAGGTGCGCACACATGCCCCCGGCTTCGGGGAGCCCGACAGGGGCGGGGGGAAGCGTCGGCTGCCGGCGTGCCGCCGCCTCGGCTGGCTGATACTGACACTCGGCCCCCTGGCGGGGATCCTCCTCCCCTCCCTGCGGATGGCTTGCCGGCCGGCGTGCTGCAGCTCATCGGCGTGGGCTTCGGCATGGTGGACACCATCTTCTACTTTGTCTTTGCCCTGACCTTCTGGTATGGCGCGCGCAATGTGGAGGCCGGGTTCTGCACCTTTTCGCAGATCATCCGCGGGGTGTTTGCCGTGGTCTTCGGCGCCACCACGGCCGGGCAGATTGCCGCCCTCGCGCCGGATTACGCCCGCGCGCGCGAGTCCATCATCGCCCTCTTCCGGCTGATCGACCGGCCGCTGGTGATTGACCCGCTGGCCGGGGCCGACCATGCGTCCTGCTGCCGGCCCATCACCGATGGCCGGGTGGAGTTCCGCGATGTGCACTTCGCGTATCCCGGCCGGCCGCGCGAGGCCGTCCTCCGGGGGGTCAGCTTCACGGCCGAGCCCGGCCAGACGGTGGCCCTGGTCGGGGCCTCGGGCTGCGGCAAGTCCACCCTCATCCAGCTGCTGGAGCGCTTTTACGACCCGACCAGCGGGCAGGTTTTGGTCGATGGGAATGACGTGCGCGATGTCCTGGTCGACCGCCTGCGCCAGGGCATCGGCCTGGTGCAGCAGGAGCCGGTGCTCTTTGCCGGGACCATCCGCGAGAATATCCGCTACGGCCGGCCGGACTGCACGGACGAGGACATCATCGCCGCGGCCGAGGCGGCCAATGCCCACTCCTTCGTCCAGGCGCTTGACGGTGGCTACGACACGGATGTCGGCTCCCGTGGGAGCCAGCTTTCCGGCGGCCAGAAGCAGCGTGTGGCCATTGCCCGGGCAATTGTCCGCCAGCCGGCCATCCTGCTGCTGGATGAGGCCACCTCGGCCCTGGACTCCGAGTCGGAGGCCATCGTGCAGGAGGCCCTGGACCGGGCATCCAAGGGCCGGACCACCATCGTCATTGCCCACCGGCTGTCGACCATCCGTCACGCGGACAAGATTGTTGTCATCGACCAGGGCCGCGTCGCTCAGCAGGGCACCCACGACGAGCTGATGGCCACCGGCGGCCTGTACTCGCAGCTGGTCAACCAGCAGCTGGCCGAATGAGAGCACTCTGTTCGCCGAGTCGAAAAGGGAAATCCACCGTCTTCTTCGTGTATTTTGTTCCTTTTCTTGGAGAGAGGGAGAAGGAGGGGGAGGATGAGAAAGAGGGGGAGAATGAGAAAGAGGGGGAGAATGAGAAAGAGGGGGAGAAGGAGAAAGAGGGGGAGAAGGAGAAGGAGGATGAGAAGGAGAAGGAGAAGGGGGGGGAGGATGAGAAAGAGGGGCAGAGATGGGCGGGGGCCCTCCTCGGAAGGATCTCGTCGCGCGCACATGCCCCCCCTGGTGCGGCCGCAGGGGGGAAGGTGGAGGAGTCGAGGGCGGGGAGAGGAGGCCCCCCCTTCCCCCCACCGGGCATTCCCCGCTTCTCCCCGGCGAGAGGCAAAAAGATAGACAAGCCCACTGTGGGGCTCGAACCCACGACCCTGGGATTAAGAGTCCCATGCTCTACCAACTGAGCTAAACAGGCTTGACATCATGGGATCCCCTTCGATCATTTGGCCGGGAGGATTTTCCGCAGCCGGCGCCGCCGCGCCCCCTCACATGTGCAAAGCCTCCGCCGTCGGCCGAAAAATCCCGTCCCGTGGCACCGGCCAAAAAAGTAATGTGTGATTGGAGTGGGACTCGAACCCACGAGGTTTCCCACTAGTACCTGAAACTAGCGCCTTAACCACTCGGCCATCCAACCTACTCAGATGAAGGGGACCGCCCGGGCCGGATTTATGATTCCTCGGTTTTCCGGGCCCGGGTGCACCCCCGACAAGGGCCCACCCTCGGTGGCTGGGTGCATGTGGAGACCTGGGCAGGAGAGGGCTCGCCGGCGAGTGCACACACACACACACACACATACATACATACATACAACCATGCGCGCGGGCTGCAACCTGCATGGGGTGCGCGTCTCTCGGGACAGCACGCATGCCCGTTCCCGGCCGTCTGCATGCCCGCGCGCGCACACGCGCGCGCCTGGGTCTGTTTGCGCGAGCATGCATGCGTCCATGGGTGTGAGGGCCCGCGCGCCGGCATGCGGCTGGGTGACGGGAAAACTGGCTGCCTGGGCGGGCGCAGGGGCCACATGTGCGGGCGTGTAGGCGTGTGTATTCATCGCGAGGGGATTCAAGGACAAGATGCATGCGTGTCGGCCATGGCCGAGGTGGTGCGCCTCTGGGCGCGCGCATGTTGTAAGGGAAAGCCACATGTCACGGGAAGGGGGGCGACCCGGCATCAGCCCCCGGAGGGCGCTGCTGCAACAGGAGGTGCCCGGGCGTCGCGCCCCCGGGGGGGAGTTGCCCGGTGCTCGGATCGGGGTACACCTCCAGCGGAGACAGCCCCGGCGGGCGCGCGGGGGAGTGATGCGACACCTGCAGCGGCAGGTACGGCTGCGGCGGAGACTGAGACAGGGCCGGGTGCAGGGCCGGGTGCAGGGCCGGGTGCAGGGCCGGTTGTAGGTGCGGGTGCAGGGCCGGGTGTAGGTGCGGGTGCAGGGCCGGGTGCGGATGCAGGCCGGCCGCTCGAGGCGGGGGGGTGTACCCGGCCGGGCCCGGCGCGGGAACCGGCGTCGAAAGCACACCAGACGACATGGGCGCCTGGACCGGCGTCAGAATCGGCGGGGCTAGGGGCGTTTGAAGGGGGCCGACCAGGTCCGCCAACCCGGCCACTTGCTGGTGCTGGTGCTGGATCGGATGTGGCTGCTGCGGGACAAAGTGCTGCGGCTGTTGTTGTTGTTGTTGCTGCTGCTGCAGGAGAACCTGCAGCTGCTGCCACATCAGGTCCCCTGCATCATTCGGCTGCGATGCCTGGAGAAGAGGTTGAGGCGAATAGTTGCCCGCCGGCCGGAGCACACCCGCCACATTGTGAACTGGGGGCGATGTGACTGACGGAGCCGACACTCCGCCGGGTGGCAAGGGCGCGTGCAAGAGCGCTGTAAGCTCCCCGCCGTGGGGAGCCGCCAAGGGAGGGGTCCCCATCGGTGGGAGGAGCCCGCCAGGGCTTTCACCTGGGTACAACAAATGCTGCGGCTGCTGCTGCTGCTGCTGGTAGTGTTGCTGATGCTGATGCTGATGCTGATGCTGATGCTGGTAGTGTTGCTGCTGCTGCTGCTGCTGCTGTTGATGGTGGTGGTGCTGCTGCTGTTGCTGCTGGTGTGACGATGGCGGCGGCGGCGGCAGCGGCTGGTGGCCAGGATAGTGATGATGATGGGCGACAAGCGGGGCTTGGGGATGGCTGGGGCCGGCGAGGTGCTCGGGCCCGGGCCGAAGCCCCAAAGACGGGCTCAGCACCGCTGGAACAACCGCCTGCCGGCCAGTCGACACGGTGTACTGGGATGCGGACTGACCGCCGAGCATGTCAACACCAAATGGACCTCCAGTGCTGATGCTGATGCTGCTGTCGAGGAGCATGCCGCCGCCGGGGCCGCCACCGCCGCGCGCCGGGGCCAGCGCGTGAGGGGGCGTCTCGACAACCATGTCCGACGGCGGCGAGCGAAAAAACGTCCCAGGCAGAGGCCCGGGCGAGGAGGAAGAGGAGGAAGAGGAAGTCCCGGGGGCAAACCGAGCGGCAGCCGACCCGGTCGGGGGGGCCAGCAACATGGACAGCACCGAGGACAAGACCCCGGTGCCGGGGTCCGGCCGTGGGACATGCCCAATCGGACCCCCGGCGGCCGGCTCCGGAGGAACCAAATGCCAAGGCTGCTGGGGGGCCTGCTGCGGCGCCGGCCCGGCCGCCTCCAGGAGGGGCACCAGCGCCTGGGCCAGCCCCGGTGGAGGCAGGGCCGTCGGCCACTGCGGCGACATGAATGACGCATACCGGCCGCCGAAGGAGGCCGCGCGGGCGGGACGCGAACGGCCGCCCCCCTCGCCCGGAGACCCGGAAGGGCCCGGCTGGGGCGACGACTCGGCACCACGCCCGGGCCCGGGGTGCGAGGAGAACCCGGCTCCTCCGCCGGGGGGAAGGGGCCCGCCCGGCGGGCCGCCGCCCTCCCGGCCGCCACGGTCCCCGGCCTCTCGGTCCAGGCGATCCAGCTCGGCCAGCAGCTCGGCCGAAATGTACGACGCGCTCCGGACAATGTCCGAGTCCTCGTCATTAAACTGCCGGGCATTGAGCTCCATCTGCAAGACCTCCCACCGGATGGAGTCCGTGCGCCGGTAGAATCGTCGGTCCACGCGCTCGCGAATTTGCGCCAAGAAGGTCGGATACGCGATCTCCTGCAAGTACTGCGGGTATTCGGCATAGTTGACCGCCGTGCGGAAGGGCTCCGACAATTCGGCGCGGAAGAGCCGATCAATTCGACGTTTGACCGCTTGGGCCACTGTGTGGGCGATGGTGACGAGGGAAGGGGCGGGGCGGGGCGGGGCGGGGGGGGGGGGGGGGGGGGAGGGAAAAGTAGGAAAAAACAGGAAAGAAAAGCAGGGAGAAAAAGGGAAAAAAAAGGGAAAGAAGGAGGGGGAAATGGGGGAGGGAAAGAACCCGGAAAAACCATTGTAGGAAAAAAGCAGAAGAAACCAAATAAGGAAACCAACCGCCCCCAACGAGGTGGCCACCTCCCACGGGCTGAGTCGGTCCGACCCGCCACGGCTCCAGCTGACGGAGAAGCATTGCCAGGGTGAGGAGGGGAAACGCTGGTCACAGGGACTGATGTCGGTCACCAGCGCCGGAAGCCACTGGCCATAGTGCCCAAAGATGCGATCATTGACCCCGGGCAGCTGCAGCTGCAGCTGCTCGCTCGGGGACAGATCGATGACCTGATCGGCCGGGCCCATGTCCGCTGGCCAGATGATCCGGTCGATGGCCGACGCCAGGACCAGGAAGTCCGCCAAATTCGGACGGTCGCAATACAGCAATGTCATGGTCACGGGCGGGGCGCGAGGGTGCCGGCGCATGAGCGCCGAAGTGACCGGCTGGGCACTGCCAAACTGCACATCGGGATTGAGCAGCGCGGGGGGGGGGATGTCGCGGTTGGCATGGGCAGGATCCAAAGGCAGGGGGCGAAAGGCGCAACAATGGGCGAGAGTGAGAGGCGCATGGGGGAGGGCGAGAGCCCGGGCATACCCTTGTCGGTGATGCGCTCAGGCGGCCGGCTCAGGATGCCGACCGCCCCCTGCGAGGTGGCCACCTCCCACGGGCTGAGTCGGTCCGACCCGCCACGGCTCCAGCTGACGGAGAAGCATTGCCAGGGTGAGGAGGGGAAACGCTGGTCACAGGGACTGATGTCGGTCACCAGCGCCGGAAGCCACTGGCCATAGTGCCCAAAGATGCGATCATTGACCCCGGGCAGCTGCAGCTGCAGCTGCTCGCTCGGGGACAGATCGATGACCTGATCGGCCGGGCCCATGTCCGCTGGCCAGATGATCCGGTCGATGGCCGACGCCAGGACCAGGAAGTCCGCCAAATTCGGACGGTCGCAATACAGCAATGTCATGGTCACGGGCGGGGCGCGAGGGTGCCGGCGCATGAGCGCCGAAGTGACCGGCTGGGCACTGCCAAACTGCACATCGGGATTGAGCAGCTCCAGCACCAGCTCGCAGACAACCGGCTGCAGGGGCCGGGCGGTGGGCAGGCGGCCGGGCGCTGCCGGGCCTCCCGGCAGACTGCCCTCCTGGGCCAGGCTCAAATCAAACACCCGGTAGGCGATGCGCTTGACCATGAACCGCGAGCAGGCGCCCAGCTGCCGGACCAGGTCCAGCGTGGCTGCCTCGTGGCGGTGAACCAAGCGCGCATCGCCATGTGCCTGGGCGAAGGCCATCAACTCCTCCATGTATCGGGTGTATCCCTGGACAAAGAAGTAGACGACGTCGTTCATCTGGTCACGAAAATCGCAAGCATGTGAGAAGAGCATCGTGCAGGAGGAGCAGAGGGCAAAACAGATGGCGAGCGGGCGAGCGGGCGGGCGAGCGAGCGACAGAGAGAGGGGGGGGGAGGGGGAGGGGGAAGAGAGAGGGGGGAGGGAGGGGGGAGGGGGAAGAGAGGGGGGAAGAGAGGGGGGGAGGGGGAAGAGAGAGGAGGAGAGAGAAAGAGAGAGGAGGAGAGAGAAAGAGAGAGGAGGAGAGAGAAAGAGAGAGGAGGAGAGAAAAATGAGAGAAAGAGAGAGAAAGAGAGAGGAGGAGAGAGAAAGAGAGAGAAAGAGAGAGAAAGAGAGAGAAAGAGAGAGAAAGAGAGAGAAAGAGAAAGGAAACAAAAGGGCTTACCTGAGGATGGTACGGGCTCATGTCCGGCGAGTTGTTCGTCACCCAGCGCCAGGCATCAGGGTACTGGTCGCGCCAGCGCGAAAGGTCGAAGTCCGGATCGGGCTCGACATCGCTGCCAACCGCCGAGCCCCCGTCCACAATGATGTCCTCATCCTGCTCCTCCAGCCCATTGTCCTCGTCGGCATCCTCATCGGAGGACGAGGAAAAACCGCCACGCGAGTTGGCATGCACGGCCGGCGAGTGGCCGCGCGAGGGCGGCCGCAGGCGCAGGCGCCCGGACTCTCGTGCCGAAACGGCCGGCGGGCTGGCCGGCCGAGGCGCCGCCAGCCGCCCGAGAGATGCCCCAGGCCGGCGGAGCCGCCGGGTCGGCGCCCGCACCTCCTCCTCCTCCTCCTGGTGCTCCTCCTCCTCATCGGCACTGAACAGGCCGGCTGGCGGACCGAGGGTCCGATGCCGCCGTGAGCGGCTGGACCCCCGGGTCGCAGGCGCGTGCGCCTGCACCCCGCCGGAGGACGAGCCCGAGGCCGGGGCACGTCTACGCGACCGGGTAGATGCTGCCCCGGTGGCCGGCGGCGATGCATCCCCCCAAGTACCCAGGGAGTCGGCTCGCGAGCGCACCCGCACCGGGGCCTCATCATCCTGGTCAAGGGGATCCGGCTCGAAGTCCTCCACATCCGACCCGCCCGCGCCCCGTGAAACGCCCTCCTCCTCCGGAAGTTCCATGCCGCTGTAGTCCAGGGTGGTGGAGGTCCGGAGGAGTCGGCCACGGGAGCTGCGCGCCGGAGCCGACGGGGCCGGCGCCGGGGCCGCCTGCTGATCGGCCACACTGGTCTCGAAATCCTCGCCGTCCAGGGTGAAGCCAAGCTGGGCACGCTGGCGGCGCGACCGCCGCCGGCCGCTGGCAGGGTCGCCCCCCGAGCCGGCGGGGCCTGAGCCGCCGCCGGTGCCTTGCGACGAGAGACCGGCCACGGCCGCCTGGCCGGGGCCATCGTCGAGGGGGCCGGGTGCTGTGACGGCGCTGGCCGCGGCTGCTGCCACGGCTGCCGGCGTTGCGGTCGCCGCCGCCGCCGTCGCCGCCGCCGCCGCCGCCGCCGCCGCCGCCGCCATCTGCAGGTGCCCGGTGCCCGGGGGCCGGCCACGCCGGCGCGCAGGAGGCGTCATCCCGGCAACCGCCCCGGAGGAACCCGGCCCGCGCGAGGGGGCCGGCAAGGACAGCCCGGGCCCCGGGCCGGCGGGGTTCTGGCCACTGTCTGGCCGGGCGGCCCGCTCGCGGCCAAGCAGCAGGGCATTCTGCTGGGCCTGGGCCACGAGCCCCGCCCCGAGAGTCAGGGCATTCGGCATGGCCACCGCCAGCAGGGGCGAAATGATGGGAGCCCCGGACTGGAGGAAATCCGCCGCCGGGGCGCCCACCTGAATCGGCTCCGGCAGGAGATCCCCCGACCCCGGGCCGCCATTGGTGGCCCCGGGCCCGGAGTCCACGGCCGGGCCCCACCCGGCAAGGGCGGCATCCCGCGCAGCCGGCAGCGCCGGACTCAGCACATACTCCACCGAGGCTGGCAGGGTGCTCAGCGCGGCGCTGGCACTGATGGCTGCCGGGCTCGGCACCAGCAGGCGTGGCCGTCGGCCGAGAGCCAGGCCCCGCTGGTGCCCAGGACCCCCGGCGTGGCGGCCCGGCCCGGCCGTCAGGGCCGGCTGGACATCGGCCACGCCGCCGATCCCCCGGGCAAACTCCACGCTGTCGATCTCCACAACTCGAGGATAGGTGCGCCGACCGGCGCCCGACCCCTCGGCCACGGAGAAGACCTGCGCCTCGAGCTGCCGCTGGGCCGAATACCCGGGCAGGCGTCGGAGGTGATCCAGCTGGTTGAGTTCGGGCACAAAACTACCGGCGTGCATGGCCAGCAATCGCGCGCGCGCGGGGGGACAGACAGGTGAACAACGCGAGCCGAGAGGAGGATGGCGCCCGGGGGCCATGACACAGAGGAGGAAAGGAGGAAACTTGGCGTACTCGTGTAACTCGCTGAGGAAGAGCACCAGGTTGTGGCGGTCCTGGCCGGCCAGCATGTCGTCTGGACAGCGTGTCGGCAGGTCGAGGCCGAAATGGGGGTCACGGTTGGCATCCAGCGACTGCATGCTCGCATTGACGATGGACTTGTGCTGCAACAGGTGGAAGGGCAGCTGGGAGGGAGCGAGGGAGGGAGCGAGGGAGGGAGCGAGGGAGGGAGCGAGGGAGCGAGGGAGCGGCCGACGCGTCAGAACAAGAGCGAGAGAGAGAGAGAGAGAGGTGGAGGGGGGAAGGGGAGCCAAGGGAAACCGAAAGGCAGACCAGCCCAACGCACCGGACCACTTGTCGTGTCCACATAGGCCAGGGGGTTTTCGTGCCCCGGAGCCAGGCCCGGCAGTGCGGCCGGCCCGCTGGTCAGTCCCAGGTAGTCATTGACGAAGAACTGCTGTGCCGGGGTCCGGGCATAGGGGGTGGTGGCCAGTCGGCCGGGAAGACCGCCGACGGTCAGCTCCGGCACCAGCCCCGGGTCGGCCCCCATCAGCCCAAACAGATGCAGGGTATTTTCGCGACCGGCCACGCAGAAGTACCGGCCGCAGGGGGAAAAGCGCCCGTCATACACCTGATCCGACATGACGGATCCGGGGCCGGTGAAGTCGCTGCGAGCCACCGGGCCTGCGGTGGCCGGGTCGCCCGGGCCCCCGGGGCCGCCCGGGGCCGCGGCATTCCCGCCGCCGGGCCCCGGCGGGTCGTGCACCGCCGACGTGGCATAGGACGAGGGGGGCAGCTGGTGTGCGGCCAACATCCGCCGAGACACCAGATCCCACAAAATGATGCGCCCATCATAGCCCGCTGACATCATCAAACTCGGGTACACCGGGTGCAGGACCAGCACAAACACATGGTTCTCATGCCCGGACAGGCAGAAGAGATATTCCGAAGTGTTGGCGTCCCACACCTTCGCCGGTGGAAGAGCAAGGCGGCCGAGGCCAGGCGCGGGGAGTTAGGCCAGGAACCGGCATCCATGTGGTGAAGATAAAGGCGCGAGCGGGAGGCAGAGAGGAAAGGGAAGGAAAACTCACGCGAATGGTGTTGTCCCACATGGCGCAAATGGCCCAGCTATTGTCCTCGGACCAAATGAAGGATGTGACCAGGGTGGCATCGCGCGGGGGGAGTTTGAAGGAGTCGTCGCGCATGACCGAAGGAGGGAGGTTGACTGGGCCGAATCCGAGGGCAAGCGGAGTGTCAGGCTTCGGGAAAAAGGGAGGGGTGGGGGAGGAAAAGAGGAGAAGGAGGGATAGAGGAGAACGAGGAAAAGAAGAAGAAGAGGAAAAGAAGAAGAAGAGGAAAAGAAGAAGAAGAGGAAAAGAAGAAGAAGAGGAAAAGAAGAAGAAGAGGAAAAGA